AGAATACATCAGGGTTGTATCCTTTCCCCATACTTATTCAGTCTATATGCTGAGCAAATAATCCGAGAAGCTGGACTACATGAAGAATGTGGCATCAAGACTGCAATACGCTGATGACACAACTTTGCTTGTGGAAAGTGAGGATGACTTGAGGCACTTGGAACATCCAGGTTCCAATGTTCATGTAATGTTAATTCCAAGAAAATGTAATTCATTTCCAGGATATTATAAATCAATAGGCTTTCAATTTAGCCTGCCATTTTTACACTGCTATACACTGCATTTACTGCAATGAAATAATATGCTTACAACCTAAGGATGTGTTTAATGTAAGAGTTTGTTTGAAATTTTCTGAAGTAAACTTTTTTTTCTATTATGAATTTCTATTTTTGTTTTACAAAAATCACTCTAAATTTGCTTACCATAAAGAGTACTACCTATAAATTCTAAGGACTGACTCTGGAATACAAAAGTACATTTATAACGTCCAAAGTGGAAACTCTGAGGAGAGACAGTGACAGAATCCGGGAGTGGCTCTGAAAGTTTAACAAGGGAACCAAGGAGAAAGGCAATGAGTGTTGTTGGGGAAAGGGGATATTTCTACAGCAGGAGATTGGCAAATTATGGCCTGCAGGTCAAATCTGCCTACTGTCTGTTTTTGTAAATAAAGTTATATTGGAACACAACTGTGTTCATTCATTTACATATAGTCAATGGCTGCTTTTGTGCCACAACAGCAGAGTTGAGTAGCTGAGACAGAGTCAATATGGCTTGCAAAGCTGAAAATATTTCCTATTTGCCCTTTGCAGAAGTTTACCAAATCCTGCTCTAGGGAAAAGGCAGTTTACACAGTGGAGGCTGAAGGAAGTTTGATATATACTGGGAGGATATAAGATTATGATCACAACAAAGATATTTTTCACAGGACAGACAGAACAGGTTCAGGGAAAGGAATACAAGGATCTAGGGCCAAAAGAGAATAATTAGAAAGTCTATATGTAAATAGGAGTTCTTGTGGCACAGTGCCTAAGGCACTTGACTGCTAACCAGAAGGCTGGCGGTTCAAACCTACCAGCCACTCCTCGGAAGGAAGATAGGGCAATCTACTTCCGTAGTGATACTGCCTCGGAAACCCAAGGAGGGGTCTCTATGAGTCAGGTCCGACTCAACAGCACATAACAACAATAACAACACTTCCATAAAGATTTACCACCTTGGAAACCCAACGGGGGGTCGCTATGAGTAGGAACTGACTTGATGGCAGTGAGTTTTTGTTTTTTATTTTACACATTAATACAGTGATGATACATTTTAGTGTTGTTAAAGAGGAGATATTAGGTCAAACTACTGCTATCAAACAAAATTGGATTGCTAACCTCAACTTATTTTTGGAGCTGGTAGTTATCCCTTTGTCCATGTTGTTCCTCTAGATTCCCTCATCGCATTCTTAAATGTCACTCACTCTTTAAGGACCAACTCAGATGCAAACTCTATAAGTCTACTCTGATACCCCACTATGTGTATCAGCTGGAAAACCTCTTTCCCTCAGCACTTCATCTGCTCTTTTTAACGGCCCCCATTATTCTGGACCTTCAGTATTACCTATGTATGTGTCTGTTTCTCCTTTCCCCTTAGACCAGATCATGAGTTCATCTGAGGCTGGCTCCCTGTGTAGCCTAGGACCTGACCACATCACATCTTGTTGCTCTCTGTGAATCAGTGCTCACATATACAGTGCACAGGGAGGGTATCAAGCTGACCAACGGCTCTGGCATGGCCAATGTATCTAACAGCACCTTCCATAGGGTGAATTCTGGATGGAGGAGTGAGCACCCTTCAGTGGGAGGCAGGGACAGAAAGAAGCCTAGGCAGTAGTTGCCATAGGATACCCTGACCTATATTCACTCCATACAAATTGTGAAGAGTCCTGTTGTTGTTAAGTGCTATCAAGTCGGATCTGACTCATAGCGACCCCTCCTTGGGTTTCTGAGGCAGTATCTCTATGGAAGTAGATTGCCCCATCTTCCTTCCGTGAAGAGTCCTGTAGTAAAAGGGAACATCAAGGACCCTGGAGATTTAAAACCAAGTTGAACAGTAGCTCTGCCACCTATACAAGCTACATATACTTGGGCAAGTTATTTAACCTCTTTGAGTCTCAGTTTCCTCATATAACAATAAGGACAGTAAGTCCTACCTTATAAAAGGTAGTTGAGAGGATTAAATAAGATGTAAACATCTAGCACAGCCTTAAAATCCCTTCTTCACAAATGAGAACACTGTACTACTTAATCTCTCTAAACTTCAGCCTCCCCTCTACAAAATGACAGTACTGCCATCTATTTTCTAGTGTTGCTGAAAAGACCAGTGGTAATAAATGTAAAGCATTAGCAAAGATTTTGGAAGAAAATAATAATTCTACTCTTACTGTACATATATTATTCACATTAAGTCTCGGCTAAGGCACTTGACTACTAACCAGAAGGCTGGTAGTTCAAACCCACAAGCCATTCCTCGGAAGGAAGGTTGGGCAATCTACTTCCATAGTGATACTGCCTCGGAAACCCAAGGAGGGGTCGCTATGAGTCAGGTCTGACTCGACAGCAAATAACAACATGATAAACTAGCACCCAGCAAAAAGAATACAGAAAAAATTCCAACCCAGATTCCACCACCTGCTCAAGGTTATATAACCTTTAGTAACTTAACTTTTCTGAGGCCTGAGTATTTTGTATAACGTGGGCATACTATTACTTCCGAAGGTTGTTACGAGGATTACAGATATGATGTGTAAGAGATACCACAGCTGAATAGGCACTGAGTCCCTCTCTTCCCTTTCCATATTATAAGAGCTCAATCACTGTGAATGCTAGAATTCAGGGGAGCTGGTGCTGTTGTACAGGAAGAAATACTGGGAATGGTTGAGGCCCATAGGATGAAGCCTGTTGGGTATAATCAAACAGATCCTCTTCCAAAAGCCACCCCCAGAGAAGTTTTCTGCTAAAAAAGGAAAAGAGAGATTGGACTTTGGGAAAAATATCACACTGGATGCGGCCCAATGGGAGATTGTTTCTGGGCAGAGTGCTGTGTAATTAGTTGTAATAGGAGGCCCAGTTCCCTGGATGGTGAGATGGCTCTTCCTTTGTCCTCTTTTCACAATGCCATTGCCACTCAGGCACTCTGTCATTCTCATTTTATTAACATTACTATTCTGCTCCGAAGAGCTCTGGTAGCATAGTGTCTAAGGCACCTGACTGCTAACCAGAGGCTGACAGTTCAAACCCACCAGCCAGCCACTCCTTGGAAGGAAGGTTGGGCAATCTACTTCCGCAGTGATACTGCCTTGGAAACCCAAGGAAGGGTCGCTATGAGTCGGGGCTGACTCGACGGCACATAACAACAACATTCTGCTCTGAGTAGCTTTCATTGTATGGCCTACAAGTACCAAAGTACAGTCAGCAAAGACCCACCCCAAGTATGGGAGCTGGGCATTTTGCCACAGATTTAAGGTAGAGAACAGTCATGGGGATCAGCTCAATACCAGTCTTCACAAACAGGAAGAGTCAGCCAGGTCACTCAATTTAACTGATTTCCTCTCTCCTAAGGCTAAGGAGGGGTACCACCATCTGAGCTGTCTGGAGCAATGCCTGAACCTAAGCCAGAAAAGGTGAGACTATTTGCTGTGTCACTGTCACTTGGACCAAAACTCAGTGGACAACTCTTGGCAGGTTTAGAAGGTATAAACTAGGAAGCTGTATTGGTTTTAATGAGGAAAGACTGCTTTGTGCTGGCCTGATGGACAGAATAAGATGGGTAGTTTACACTTCAGGGAAGTTCAAACTAATGTGGCAGCTGGAAGGTGACCAGAACAGGCAAGAGATGGAGAAGAATTTTGGAGAGCAAGAAAGCATCTATGTAAGTTATTACTCCTAATGGGTTAATGTGTGGCTGTTTTGATGCCATTTGTGTTTTCTGTAAGTGTTGTTACTTTATTCCCTCCTTATTGCACAATGAACTTCATTGAAAATCTACCTTCTAGAGCTGTGTCATGGAAAACTATACATGGTTGGTGCCAAGGCAATGGGAATAAAAATGACTATAGTCCAAAACAGCAGTGAAAAAAATCATTTGAAAGTCTTTCAGAGCTCTTTGCTAAAATCTTAGAGTTGAGGGTAGGACACGAGACAGTTCTGTTTTTATGCCTTTAGAGATGTAATTTTATTTTTCTTCACTCTAGATAACCTTGAAAATATTAAATGCAGGGTTTAACATTAAATTGCTACTTCATACTTACAGAGCAAGGCTCTACCGTAATTTGGGATTTGACTGGGGGGATTTTGGTTACAAGTCTCAGCTATAGCCTCTGTCACCGCCACAGTGATTCAGTCTCCCTAAGCCATCAGGTCCAACTTTGACAATTGTGAAGTGCTCTTTTTCCACACTGCTAAACTCACTATAAAGAGAGCACTTTGTTAACCAAAACTCCCATGAGAGGTGGGTTTTTAGTTCTCCTTTTAACTAGTGAAGAAACAAAACAAAAGGAGATATAGCAAAATCACAGGGTATATATGAAGAGAATGTACATCTCCTGGCTGTTTAATGCACAAACTGTCCCATTAGAATTCTTGTAAAATGTATGCTAAGTTTTAGCAGAAAAAACTCTATTGAAAAACACAGCTAAGGCAACTGTACACAGTCCAAAGATGCTAACATGAAAAGTGTTAAGACTCTAGGGAAGTTGGAGAACAATAAGGAGGGCTTCAAAACATCTGTAGCATAACTGGAGAAAAATAATGATCTAATAAACGAAACACAGAAGATTAGGGTATATTCTCTCCCACCAAAACCAAAACATTTTATTATTCTAAGATGTTGAAGTTATTTCATTACTATACCTTATCACCCTTTTTTACACGAAACACAGAAGATTAGGGTATATTCTCTCCCACCAAAACCAAAACATTTTATTATTCTAAGATGTTGAAGTTATTTCATTACTATACCTTATCACCCTTTTTTACTGTCCTGGTTGTCAATTTGCTGATGGCTTTCTTGGCTGCATCTCCAAGACGACGCTATAAAAATTGCAAAGAAAAACAGACATTAAATGTAAGATTGTGAATGATGCTCTTTATTTTTATATAATTAAGTTTATACATAAACTCTCTATTATCATTTTCCATGTCATACCATATAAGATTTTTAAAAAGCAATTAAAAAGTTAGAAAAGCTGGCAGTTGTTCCCAGTATTCAGTATTCTGGTTGAATAATTAAAAAGGTATGTAATGAAAAAGTCAGGTGTCATAATCACTGTTGCATTTTGTAGTTTATAAAAAACATTTGAAATATTACAGCATTAATAAAATCTACTTCCTGTACACTCCAAAGCTACCACCACTGTTCTAGCAGCTTTCCTACACTTTTGCTCCAAGGATGATCACTATAGATGCATAAACTCTTGCTTATTAAAGGACACTTCCCACACTCCTTTAAATTGCTTATCATATTATCAAGTGTGGGAGAAGAGACAGGGTGGAGAAAGCTCTGCCACTACTGATCACTTTGTGACCTTACGAAGGCATATTTACCACCTTCAAGCTGAATTAATCTGATATATCTAAGAGGATTAAATTAGGTTATCACCATAGCTGAATTTATCCAATATTCTGCCAGGTATTGCACTAGACACCAAGGACTTGAAGATGAAAAGGGCAGTGTAGTTCCAATTTTCAGCTGAACTGTGAAACAGTGTAAACACTTTTAATCTCATCTGTACAATAGAGCATATCCAGGGTGGTGTGGCAGCTAAAAGAAGGCAACCTAAAGTAGGCTGAAGGGTAGAGGAGGAATGTCAGCGAAGGCTGTTAGGAAATGATGCCTGAGCTAATAAGACTTGGGAAAAAGAGTGGAAAGGAGTGAGATGAGGACTGGCATAGGGACAGGAAGAGGACTGTGGAAAAGGGAAAAGTCTTAGTAAAGACAAATAGGTGTAAACTACAGAGATGTATGAAGGAAAGTATAGTTTAGTAACTAGGGTAAGCATATCATTTCCTGTTCAAATGACGAAGGCTTATGAAGCAAACAGGATCACTAATTACACTGGAACAACAGGTGCAAACCAAGACTGTCCAGGCACCAGATTCTAACCTGTGAGAAAAGGCAGAAGCTGAGGCTGAAGGAGTAGGTAGGAGTTAAAAATGGAGAGACACTCAATAGGATCCTGATGACAAAACAGATAAACTTAAGGGTAAATTGAAAATTTTAGCTGTTTGCACCACCCAGGGACACCGTATAAATGTACCACAATTTATATATTTTTTCACCTATTGATATGTTTCTATTTAAAATGAGAAACCATTATACACATATTAGAATGATTTAAATCTAGAACACTGATTAGATTTTACCTGATCACATCAAATGCTGGCCAGGATGTAAAGCAACAAAAATTTTCAAAATTCACTGCTGTTAGGAATGCAAAATGGTGCAGTCACTTTGGAATACAGTCTGGCAACTGCTTACAAAGCTAAACAAAGGCTTAACATATGATCCAGCAAACATGCTCCTAGAAATTTTCCCAAATGAAATGAAAACTTACGTTCATGTGAAATAGTGTTTATAGCAGTTTTATTCATAATTGCCAAAAACAGGAAGCAACCAAGAATCCCTTTAACAGGTTGCAGTGAATTGCTTGATGTGGCCCTTCTAGCCATTGTCCTCCATTCTGTGATGTTTTGTAAATCTCATTGTTGTTGTTGTTATGTGCCATGGAGTCGGCCC